ATTACTTGGCACCATTGGCAAAAAAGATAAAATTCTTGGTAGCCCAGAACAAAAAAGGAAAAAAGGAAAAAAAAAAAAACATAACCTCTTTTTTTTTGTCTTAAGTTAATTTTGCCTTTTCCCTAACTCTAAATACTTTTTTAAACTTTTGCAGTAAGGTCATGCTTTAGCAAAATGTTCTTTTTAAGAACATTTAAAATAAAATAAAATACTCTTATAGTGAAATAGTTTGAATCATTTTACAGACCATAGCCACTAATGCTTTTTATCTTTTTTTTTGTTTGTCTGTTCATGTCTTAAATTTTCATGCACATAGCTCGTTTTATCCCATATGTACACTATATACAAACAATACAACCATACAACCATACTTCTTGAGCATTCAAACAAAACTATACAAATATTATGTTTTTGTCCCTTACCGTGTTATTGTCACCTTTTATGAATAAAATAATATATATTTTTTTTAAATACAATCCCCTTCAGATAAACATTTTTTTTTTTCTCCATGTACCTTCAACCTTCATTATATACAGAAACTGCTCAATAGTCAAAAATACGGATTTTTCTACCCCCAGTAAAGGGACTTCAAAGGATCCCTAAGAAGTCAAGGCAATGTATGTGATCTTCACCTCAAAAGCCTTTTACAGCTTCTGAAGTTCGTTTAAAACAGAACAACACAATAACCTTCACAACTGTAACGGAGTCAAAATGTAATGAGGACGAAAGGCATAATAAATAATTAAAAAACAACTAAAAGTGAATGAAGCAGTGGGTGACATGTTACATTAAACAGAGGAAATGAGTTGGGGTTGGGGGAAGTGCTGGGTACACTGCTGACATCATCACCACAGTGGGTGGAGGAAAAATAAATACATAAATAAATAACATATATAAATAAAATGGTACATTTTTTTTGTTCAGAATTCAAGCATGAAGCCAGGGAATTATCTAAGTAGGCATTTCTTTTGCCAGGATGCATGCATTTCGTTTCATTTTTTAAATAAAACAGCCACAGGACTTGCAGGAGACAAGCAAACTGAAAAAAAACAACACAAAATCGAAAGCAAAAACAGACAAACTTGTTCCTTGGATTTGATTCCACCACTAACATACATTAGCCCTCAACTAAGATAACAAAATAAAGGATATGCTTTAACTCTGCTAATTTTCTGGCCACACCTTTCTTACATTCATGTGTGGTTCCATCACATTTGATTGGTTGACAAGGCAGACAGAGCAAAATAAATGACGGAGGAAAAAAAGCATTTCTGACCATAATGGATTTATCAGGCTGTGAATAGGAGTTTGCGTGCAAAAGGGTCAACGTGTTATCAACAATTTTTGGTTCATGTGTTTTTTTTGTCTCCAAATGGGTTAGTCTCTTTTTTAAAAAAATAAATAATGAGATATTTAAAAGAAGGTCCCCACATGTGTATGACGCGTTTCCATTTTGAATTTCCGTTTCGTTATCCGCTGAAGGACAAAGATGACAGTCTTGTCCCGTTGTTTTTGTTCCGTTCCCCCCACCCTCATGCCAAAATGAAAAATCAATCCATGAAAAAGTGCAAAAAATGCCACAAAGCGAATGTCCTCCCTCCGTTTGCCCCTGTAGTTTTTAATCCTTCAGGACTCGCAGCTTCCCCCTTACAGAAAGACAAACGGAAAAACTGAATACAAAAAAGAAAGAGACGGCTGTAGCGTGTGTAGTAGCAGGAGTAGAATCCACTGTAGGACGCCTGCTGTAGTAGTAATAATTGCAGTGCTTTCACTGTATTTTTGAATTTTTTTTTGTCCACTTGTAAAATGTTTGGTACAAACAGAAAAAAAGAGTCTGGAGAGTGATGTCACATCTTCAAGGGACTCCTCTGGACACTTTCATGTTCCCTGGCCTTTCTCAATTCTTTCGCTCTGAAAAACAGAAGACAGCAGATCTGAAACATAGATCTAGAGCAGGGGTGGTGGGGGGGGGGGTTGGGGATTGGCCAGCAGGTGTGTGTGTGTGTGTGTGTGTGGTGTTTGTAATTATTACATTGTGGGCAGTAGATATCCCCACAATGTGATAAAAAAAACCTGTAACATCTGACCTTGAAGGGACGTTTTTTTCGGTCCCCGCAATAGGTAACTCAATTTTATAATAAAAAAAATCAATGTTTGTGAATTCAGTCAAAAAACAAAAAATGCCAGAAGTATCATATTTTGTTTGGTTACTTATGGTTAGGGTTTGGGCTGGGTAGGGGTTAAGGTCGTCATGTTGTGATTACAGTTTTCCCCATAGAAACAAATGGAGAGTCCCCACAAAGATATAATTACAAACCTGTGTGTGTGTGCGTGCATGTGTGTGTGCGTGCGTGTGTGTGTGCGTGCGTGTGTGTGTGTGCGTGTGCGTGTGTGTGCGCATGTGATTGTGCGCACATGTGTGTGCGGGAGGGGGGGTTGTTTAACCAGCAGAAGCATTTCACAGATGTTCTGTATTCATTCTTTTAAGTAAATTTAAATGCTCTCAAATCACTGTTAATTTGCGATCATGCATAAACTAAACCAGTAGGCTGTTTGATTATAAAGTAGCAAATCCAATTAGGTATGGACATTTACATCAGTACAAAATGTTATGATTAGCAGGTGAAATCATTTATAATGCATACTCAATATTTTACTTGAAAAGTTGAAGGTCTTTGGATGCAGAGTGATTAAAAGCCAGCAACTTAAGAATACAAACTTACAGAAAAAGCTAACAGAGAGCTCACATTTTACTGTCAACTCATCCAACCAATAACCTTTAAGAGGATGCTATGGGGATTTTCAGTGAACCAATAGAATCCATCAGGAGGCAGACTAAACCAGTGAAAGTGACTCTACATCATAGCTTCACCCAGTACGATTTCCAAAAGTCTTTTCATCCCATTACTTGTTTAAAGTTTTAACAATGACTGTTCTGCCTGGTGCTGAGGCTTTGCACGCGGAGCAATTTTGTTGTTTTGCTGAGGAGATAAATATGAAAAATTAAAAACATTAAAAAACTCAAATGAGAGAAGTACAACTTTTTATACATATACTACAGAAAGGTAACCAAAAGCCTTTTTCTTGTTTCCAGAACATGTTGCTATAGCTGCTTTGAGATCCCGGTGAGGTTCTTATTGGTTTAGTGACACAAAAAGCGGTTTGGATCAAGGCTGGCATTTGTTTGGACAATGGCGAAGTATTGATGGACCATGCATGCACACTGGTTCCATTAGGACGTATCAAGTCCCGGTCAGTGTTGTGACCTGTACCCTCTGAAATTATAGTTTACCCTGAACTAGACAAGGGTACAGGAGGTGGGAAGAGCGTGTGGGGATCCCTTATTCTACCTTGCAGGGCACCATAAGAAAAAAAACAAGGCAGCAAGGTATCTACACGATCATTCCATCCACACAAGAAGTGAATTAATTCTGAGCATGCCTGGAAACGGGGAAGCAGGGGCCAAACTGTGTTTACCACATGCAACAACCCCTTGGCTTTCAAAAATGCATCTTTCATGACAACAGAAACAAAGACCCGAAAGAGAGAGAGAGAGACAGAAGGAAGGACAGGAGTTTGTTTTAGTGCTGATGCATCATGTGTGGCCCTTGGTTAGTTCACCACAGCGCCTAATTCCACCCAGATGCTCTGTGCCCTTCTGTAATCACAGCCGGCAGCTGTCATGCAAGCAGGCATCAAGCAACAGCAAAGGAGGGGAGAGGAGAGGAAAAGGGGATGGCCGGAAAGAGAGAGAGAGAGAGAGAGAGAGAGGAAGAGGAAGAGGAAGAGGGAGAAAGGCCAAAACCGGGGTGCTGAGGCTGCACTCACCCGCTTGAACAGCCTATGGTCCATCAAGGGGCTTTGAATAAACAGCAAAACAACAGCAGACAGCTATTAGCGTTAGCACTCACTGAGTAGGCACTGGGAGGGAGAGGAAGTCAGCAGGAGGGCGCCTAAGCAGACTGCCGTGTCCTTGAAATTTCTCTACACACCCTCCTCCCATTTCTTCAAAAACCGAATAGGTGGATTCACCCACTTGATTGAGATTTTGGGTGCTATTCAAAGCCTGCTTGTCCTCGGCCTGCGTGGATGGCTGTCCTGCCACCACGGCTCTCAGGCTCGCCTGTGACAGGGCTGAGAAGCCAGCAGATTATCCAATCTTGAAGGCTTGCACTAGGCACTAATGAATTTAGAGAACCCTTGCCTGCTGTTTGGGTTTAAGACCTGATTAGTAAATGCTGCAGATTATGTCATACTGCCAGGCTGACTTATCCGTCCTAATGCACCATGCTGCCGTCACAGTACTCAAACATGTCAGTCAAAGTCATGCTGATCGACTCGGTGTATGTATAACATGACACAGGGTAAATATTACAAAAATGATTATGGATTCTTCTGGGATCTACGTGATACTAATTCAGTCTCAAACAATTCCTTTTTCTGTACAATGAACTCATACTCAAAAGTGTATCAACATAACTGAGTAGCTGTAATCGTTAGTAATGTTTGCAGTTCTTTTTAGAGAAGTGTTTCATAAATTCTACTCTATGTAAATGAGCGCGAGTTTGTGCCTGAAACAAGGGATGTATCCACCTGTATTAATATCCAATTCCATTATAGCTTGTCAGTGCTAGAAACTTCCATGCCTCTTCCATGCTGAAATACTTTTCTTTCTTTACAGACATTTGCACGTATGCAAGGTGTGCACATTTAACCTTAACAACCTGGAACAATGTGCTGTTGCATAATTTACGTAACTGTTCTCAAGTAAACATGTCAGACTGTCAGCTAGCTGTTCCCCAGGTGACATGAAGCCCGTGTCCAAGTGGATTAATGCTGGACTAATGTAACATATGGACTTCCTGCTAAACCTTAAAGAAAATGTCTTCTCATTCTCAGTGATTATGAAAAATGGTTACACAAGGTCACTTATGGCTGGTAGCATTAGCTAGCATTGCCTGCTATACCTACCTATGTCAACTCGCAAAACCCACAACAGGCAACTTTCAACTTACGTAAAATATCCTACACACATATTGATTACGGTAGCACCTTTAAGTAAACTACATTTTATCTTATCATTTATTTAATATGCATTCCTTAATACATATTACTAGTCTATTTTTGGCATATACTATATGCTTTTTGCTATAAGGTGTCTTGAATGGTATGGGAACGTAAAATTTCACTTACATAACGGTTTATGTTATGCACTATATAATAATAATAATAATAATAATAATAATAATAATGTAAAAATGTAAAATTATTTATTGATTCACAAATACAACTGCTCATTTACGATGACAAATGCTCATTTTTGAATATAATTTAATTGTACATGAAAACAATTAGTTATGTGACTGAATTAGTGCCACAGGTCACTCTCCTACGGGGAGCCAGTGACATCAAATACTCTCCCGTCATGTGACATCATCCGGGAACCATCCATGGGGACAGAACCGGACTGTGGGACCGAGGGGTGGAGCTCCAGTGAGCTCACCTGTGGCGGCAACGGCGAAGGAACCTCATGATCTTGCGGGCAGCCTGGTCCTGCTTCTTGGTTAACAGACTGCTTCTGAAACACACAGGCAATTGGGCTTTGGGTTAGCCTCAGGTGTGACTTAAATCAAGTGATTACACCATCACACCATGACGACCCTTAAGGGATGAGGTTTGTATCCACATTCAGATGATGAGTTAATCATTCTGAGCCAATTGTGTACTTAATTTAATCCTTACTGAGGTAATCACAGTTCAAGAACTCAATAAGTATCGACCCTGTATCGCTTACATCCTTGCGTTTCTGTGGTCATGAAACTTTCATTGGTGACAGACAGTCTGTGAAAAAGAATGCCTTGAACGTGGAGAAAATATTTCATGGAAAATGACAGATTATTGTACCAGCTGCTGGTAAACCTACATTGTGTAGGAAATTGTTTTTTTTTATAATTGAATGCAAACTACAGCACAGTGCAAGAACAACCCCACCCCCCACTACTCAAGAGAACTTTTTGGTTGCAGATCTTGTTGCTTATTCCTTAAGCACTTGTGTAAACAGCATCGCAACCATTAATTCGGCAGCAGAGGCAACTTAACTGTAGTACCACAAAACTGGGGTTTGTAGTCTAGAGAATTCTGCTGAGTTCATTCATGGAGCTGGAAGTGTGAAATGAACTCAAGTTCCCTAACATTTTGAATTATTAAATACTCTGTGTTCCCTTTCAGTGGCTCGCCAAACAGCAATAAAACCTTTTATATACTTTTCTACAGCTCGACGTTTTAGAGGAACTCAGTGATAGTGCAGACCACGCCTGGGCCTTCAGCCAGCACCCTCCGACTGAGGTACCTGAGCTTGTGCTGCACCATGGTGGTGGTGCCATGGCGACGAGGCTTCAGCCGACCAAACTCCCTGTAGCTGCGGTAACACTGCTGGATCAGCAGGGCAGCTCGCCGACTCTGCTGGAACTTCTTCTGCTCGTGGTAGCTGCGGAACTTACTCTGGATAAGGATGGCGGCCTGCGTCATCTTCTTATAAAGTGCATACTGTAATTGTGGTGGGGGGTGGGGGGGGGGGGGGAAAGATATCAGAAAGTCAGCCCTGTCACAGGTGACGTAAGATTGTGATACAGAAAAGGAGATAAGTAACATTACCTTCAAGGCTATCCATGTTAGCTNTATGTGGCTTGTACATATTTATGCATATCTGTAAATGATAAAGAAATCAATGTGGCTGATGGAGAGAATAAAACAACATGATATTTCTTTAGATTTTTCATAATTTTTTTCCTTTTTATTATTTTACAGCAGAAAGAATATAAAGCATTCAGAAAACATCTTCCATATTTTTAAGGGCAATTCAAAATATTTTGCATGGCTTCAGCAGCTGAATTGTATTTTTTTTTTTAACATATCCATCGATTCAGTGACGCTTTTACATGCACTATTACAAAAATAAAAATTAAAAGGGGTAGAAAAAGAGAGAGCAAAAGAGATTAGGAGAACAGAAAACGAGAACTATAGAACCTATAAGGGGTGAGAAAAGGAGGGAGGGGAAGACAGAGAGGGAAAGAGACAGAGAGAGACAGAGGGAGAGAGAGCGCTGAAGAAGAGAGAACTAACACTAGATTTACATGCAAAGTGTTGGAGCCCACTACCTTGATAAAAAAGCAGGGCCAGCTTTTTTTGTTTTCCTTTTTTTATTTTAATGATGAAAACGTGCAGTTAGGTCAAGGGTGTCATATTATCGCGGCACATTAGCTACGGAACGCCTGTCTCGCAATACTAGCAATTGCATAATCGTAGGTCGACGATGTGTGTCCAATTGTTTTTGTCATCGTTAGATCTATAAATCCTCGCATAAAAAGAAAAAGAGAAAGAAGTGTTTATTGCTCTGTGTTCACAAGTGGAAAGCCGAAACACGGTGCATTTCTACCCGGTTGTCCCGCTACGCCTGCCTATTTTCTCGTGTTCAGGTGCGTGAGAGGAAGAGGAGGAAATGTCACTGCTCGACGGGCAGAGAGAATGATCGTAAAGGCGGAGGTGAGGCGCCAATGGACAGGCTCCAAAACGACACACGGAGGCTGAACACGCCTGGCCCTACTGATTCCACTAAATCAATTAGGGCTGAATCTCAATATCCATCCGTGCTGCCTACTTTACAAACATAAGGAACTTCAACTAATTTAGGCATACTATTTAACAGCTTGTGCTAAATAACAAGGCTTGTATACATATTTTTTTAAATCAATACTGATAACTCAATACAATTATGCAGCGGATTTGTCAACTAAAATGAATAAATTTTAGCAAAAAAAAAAAAAAATCATTATTCAAAATATATTTCCAATATGTCAAAATATATATTGGTCATATTTGAGAACAGGGGTGCTGACAGAGATTTTGGGCCCCATGAAGGCATATCAATTTGGGCCCCCAATCCAGACCAATCTAATTACGTTTAAAAAGTTTTAGGGCCCCTGTCAGTCAGGGGCCCTTGGAATCATCCTAAGTTCCCCCCCTTTATGGCGCCCCTGTTTGAGAATATATACATTATTGCCTCTCGCATACAGCTCAATGTATATATCATACAATATATTGTAAAATATTATTTTGGAATATCTAGATATTACATTTGATATTTTGCTATACAATATTTGTTATACATACTTTTATTACACTAAAGTATATTTTGACATATTAAAATATATTCTATATTCAGTTTAGCTTACAGTGGATATTTTCACAAGCTGCCATTCTGAACAGCAAGATGCCTCACAAGGATATTGTCAACAAGGAATCTCTCAAGCTTTTCGTGGTTTAAGCTCATGGTGCTTATAAGGTGCAGCCTAGTCTGCAGGCTGCAAATTTAAACACTAAAAGGGTTCCGTAATATATATTTGTAATGAAACTCTATAAAGGGAACATAATGATAAAGATTATTTAACCAGAAAATCATCAATATATTGTACCGTATTTTTATGTCTTAAATTATATGTATATTTGAAATGTATACTTCAATTAAACTCTATGAACCTATAGGCTACAACAGGTACTTATTTCCAATAAACACTACATTTAAAAAAATGCAATGTTTGCGTCATTGATAAAAATATTGGTGTTCAGTGACAACTCACCCTGAACTGTTGCCAAAGATGCCTGAAACCATTAAGAATGTTCTTTCATAAAGGACGGTGGTTATTGGAATTAGAACTAAATATTTACATTGGACTCTGGACCCTCTTTTGACATTATAACGGTGGATAACAGCAATCTGTGTGGATCACCTTAGAAAAAGGGTCGGGCAAGGAGATGACACCAGACAAGCATTGTCAGAGTAACATTTCAGTGAGACTCTTACCTATTAAGCATCACTAGACCCTGAGTTAGGTTATGTCTAAAAACAAAACAGCACAACACATGAATAGTCATTGTTTTTTTTCCCAGTGGTCAGTTTTCTCCTTGAGCTAACAGCAGTACGATTTTCCACGCCTCAGGGTGAATTTAACGGCCACCAAAAAAAAACAAAAAAAAACAAGAAACAAATCTGTTAACTGCACATGCATAACTAATACTACACAGTGCAGTTTTAACCTTTTTCAACCTGCCTTTTATATTTTAGTTGGTACACGGAGGGTACATGTGAAAGTTTTAACATATATCGATATTGCAGCTAATGTTCCATAGACTGGGGAAATTGAGCACGGTTTTGCCACAATTTTAGCTGACACTGCTTATTTGGGAAGTTTGGATGTTTTCTTTTTAAACCTTTTGTTTTTCTTCATAAATTGAATGGGTATCGGGAATTTGCTGACCCCAAAAAGTTTAAGGCCACTACCACCTTACCAGTGCTAATTGGACCTCAGTACTGTTAACGTAAGACAGCTTCATTCGAAATTGAAATACCTAAACATCAACATATACCAACGAATAGCAGAGACCGAGACTTAGAAAACGACTGACTGAACAATCCGTTAAGAAGAGCGTAACAGTACATGATAAAGCTGACGTTAAGACCTTTCCCCTTTTCCCTGCGATCTCTCTAGGGACAACCGTAAACAGGTGGGAAAAAAACAGCCCAGTCGACTTCGCTCTCTGAAACAAAATAAACGACATACGATGGGTTCAGTATAACCGTAATCTGCGATGGACACCCGTGTTTACTTTGCCGCTGGGGAAACCCTGTGCGAGAGAGGTGCAGCCCTCTCTTCTGCATGAGTTCCTAGATGCCCCCTACACTTCCCTGGTCTGAGCCCCAGGTGTCCTGCTTCATTTCCCCCTCCCCGCTTTGGCACCCTGAGTCAAAAATACAAAAGGGAGGCAAACGCATCTCTAAGCTATTAGAACCGTACATGAAGTTGCTCTATGTCATATATGCATATAGTGAAGCTGAAACATCCTCACATCCAAATATGTGTACAGTACGCGTGAGAGTGTGTGTTTGGTAGGTGGCAAAAGTACTTAGTCATGATCCCGAGGTAACATCTGTATATGTTATGGAAGTTGGAAGAACACTATCCTGACCAAATTAATAATAAAAAAAGATAAATAGCCTATATATCAAATAACTTTTAAATAAACCGCGTTCGTACAAAATTTACGTTGCTCCAGGAAACTTGGTCAAAGAATACTGGCTATAACATCTTATTTGTTCTTTTTGATAACGTTTTTTTTTTTTTTTTTTGCCTTGCATTGAAAAGCCCTGTGTCTTTCTCAAGTTCTGCGACACGTTAAACCAACATTCACTGTTAAACAGAACAGTAAGTCTTTATACAAGTCTACCTGACTACCAGTATTAGAAAAAATAGCATGCTTCAGGTGATGTACATTCACCAAGTTATCTATGTAACCCATGCAAGTGTAATAAGACGTTCTCAATTTACCACAGCGGTGCAATAGTTCACATCCTATACCCCTACCGGATTGATGAATGCAAGGCAAATATCAGTTGAATTAGCAGGCAATTTCAACAGGAAAATTAGGTCTCCAGAATGTGACAATCTGACGGCACCCTGGAAAAGTTCATAATGTGGGCTTACAAAAGGGGAAAATGAAATCAACGCTGGAAAGCTGAGACACACAACCAAAACCTTTAAAAAGGCCCGTGGAAAAGAATTTTGAATTGTCATTTTCCCCGTCTTGCTATAATAATATGACAATTGTCAAACGTCTTAATTTTCAAACTACAACAACACTTTTTAAAAAATAGGCCAGGTTGTCCTTATTTTACCACTTTGCATGCTTTCTGAAATTTTGTCTGCCGCTGACAGGATGTGGATAGGCACTTTCTATGTTAACACTCTAGAGAAAACTCCGGTTTACATCTGGTTTACAAGTCTGTGCCACTGAAACAGACAAACAAACAAAAAAAACAAACAAAAAAAAAAGAAAACATCATAGTTATGCACATAATCACAACATAAGAACAACAGTGCACAGACATATCTGGAAGCAGAGTCGAAAACAACAGCAACAAACTGGAGAGTTTTTTGCCATGCATTGTCAACTGATAAAACTGGTTTAAATGGTATACCGACGCTGCCTGAAGTCTGCTCACTGTTTGCCCTTTTTCACAAATTCAGCAGATTAACATTCCTCCCCAAAAACGTGGGCAACGCTTCGCGACAGTGCTTCTCGATTTACGTAGTTATTTAATCACAGTTTCTCAAATGGACTGCCCAACCAGAAGCCAATTTGAATCACCTTTCTGCAAACTTGAAGCACACCGATCTCTGTCCTGGACGTCCTTGTGTAGCACCGCGGAGTATTGAGACGTCCCTCTTTCGTACAGTACAGTACAGGAGTCCGCTCACTGGGGCACCTGTTAGAGAGCACGCATGTCGCTCGGGTTGCTTTTGTTTTCCACGAGGTTTGGGACCCACAGATCGGTAGCAGCCTCAGTCAGATGAAAGCTCCAGCCAGCAAAGATCACTAGTCTTCCCCAAGGAAAATCCTGCAAGAACAGCCAATCGCCTCCTATAATACTGCTAATGCTTGGCACGATGTGCGTCTTCTCTCATTCTGGCTGCACGGTAAAGCGTAACGCTCTTGCCAGCCTGTGCCTGAATTAAACGCTACTAGTGAGAAGTGCTGGAGGTTTCACGGACCTCACCCGCTATTTACAATTCCTGCCGCCCAGAAACACAAGCAGATACAACTCCTCCTCATTTCCATTTTTTTTTTGCCC